CTCTCTCTCTCTCTCTCTCTCTCTATCTATCTATCTATCTATCTATCTACCGGAATATTTGAAACATGAAATGTGGGTGGTTGGCGGGTGCTCTGTTGTGGTTTGCTTCTTCTTTCCTATCAAATATCTATTTTCCTTATCTCCCCTCCTTCTTTTTTATGCTTGTTACTCTCTTATAACACCTCTGATCTTCCGGCGCTGGTATGACCTTATGCAGTTGCGATCCTCATAAAACTACTAAAACAAAACAAAGTATGAAATTCAGGCAGTAAGTAATCTTTCAAGTGCTTCCTTGAAGAAACTTTCCTTTTCATTTCTGTATATCTCGAATTACTTACATAGACAGAAATATAATGACAAATAGGAGAGAGATACATAGGGGAGGAAAACCTTGATTTTTAACAATGCACAGACTTCAGTGCTTGCTAATGATATAATTGGAAGACAATGCATAAAAAGCCTACCAAAATGAGCATCATTACAAAAGATAAAAGTAGATGGTTGGCAGGTGCTCTGGTGTGGTTTACTCCTTCTTTCCTATCAAACATCTATCGTCCTTATCTCCCCTCCTTCTTTTTTATGTTTGTTACTCTCTTGTAACACATATATAATCTTCTGGCGCTCATGTGACCTTATGCAGTTGCGAGCGCCGTAAAACCTCTACTAAACTAAACTAAAAGATAAATAAATTACTTACGTAATAATATTTATGTCAGTAATGCATCTAAATTTTCTCAACTTCATCCACCCAGAAATGGCAGCGTTATCGTGGTCTACCGGATAACCTTCTCCGTGACCTTGACCCCGGACCAACCAGTCCCGGAAAAGAGCAGCGTGCTGGATGCGATCAAGGCCATCGTGTCTTCAGAGAAATTGGGCAACTTTACTGTCGACAAAGACAGTCCAGTTTGCTTGCTGGACGTTAGTGACATCAGCTCTCCCATCTGTCCGACCCCGTCTATCTCGCCCACACCGACGTCATCCACGGTCACGTCATCCACGGCCACGGCATCCATAATGACTTCACCAACAGACAGCTCGACTTCCAATATCCAGCCAACAGCCACTGCTCTGATTCCACCGACCGCAGACGAATCCAGTACACCGGGTCTATCCGGTTCTGAAATGGTTTCGGTTGAAAATACGGCACCTCCTGCGGACATGAGCTCATCAGAAGTGATCCCTTCAGAGTCAGCTGATGCATCTTCTGTTGATGTCGCATTATCCAGCTCTCTAGAATCGACCCCAACAGACAGCTCGACTCCCAATATCCAGCCAACAGCCACTGCTCTGATTCCACCGACCGCAGACGAATCCAGTACACCGGGTCTATCCGGTTCTGAAACGGTTTCGGTTGAAAATACGGCACCTCCTGCGGACATGAGCTCATCAGAAGTGATCCCTTCAGAGTCAGCTGATGCATCTTCTGTTGACGTCGCATTATCCAGCTCTCTAGAATCGACCCCAAGCCTTGTAATGGAGAGTTCTGATGTTGTAGAGTCGACTACTGATGGATTGGTGGAGCCGAGTTCTACTGTGGAAGCTGCAACATCTTCAGATTCGGTTGACTTGAGTGTTTCAGATTCAGAAGAACCGATAACACCTAGCTCTTCAGCAGGAATCGAACCAAGCGCTGCCATTTCTATTGAACCAACTTCGTCAGACACGATTGTCACTACCTCAGAGCTCCCTGAAATGTCTTCTTCCGTAGAACCAAGCTCTTCAGAAATCTCCGAGTCGAGCTCATCAACCTCTGTGGAATCGCTCAGCGTAACACCCTCAATAGATTTGACCACTTCTGAAGTGCCGGGCGAGAGTTCATCTGCGGTTGTTGAGCCAAGCTCGTCTGTGACGACAGAACAAGATGTTTCTTCTTCGCTTGATGACACTCAGTCTCCTGTAGTGCAAGGCAGCTCTAGCCAGTCTGTCATTGAACCAAGTCCATCTGCTATACCAGAGCTTGCCTCTACAGATGTAGCCGATATAAGTTCCTCCGAATTGCCCAATATAGTTTCCACTGAAGCAGTTGTAGCAAGTTCTTCTGATATGCTAGAATTGAGTTCTACTGAAGTAACTGAGGCAAGTTCTTCTCAATTGATTGAAGCAAGTTCTTCCCAGTTTATTGAAGCAAGTTCTTCTGATATGCTAGAATTAGGTTCTACTGCAGTAACTGAGGCAAGTTCTTCTCAATTGATTGAA